AATACGCTGTTCGCGCAGAAGCAGTTGTCACTCGATTAGAGGCCACAGGATCGAATTCTACACAAGAAGAGAGGTATTTTAAATGTGCTTTTTCTAGGACATCTAAACGCAACAATGTGTGCGCATTGAAATATGAGGTTTTGGTCATTGAAATGTTGCCTAGTGTGATTATGACCGTGTACAAGTTTACTAATGCTGTTTTGCAGAGATCGCGACTCGGACGAGTTCATCAATGCCTGTACTTTGGTGCACGATGCAGTGAAGGAAATTCGCAATGCTCTGCTGGTCAATCGGCATCCAGAAGATGTTGACTCAGACAACGAGTATGAAGATGATGGACAGACGAATGCGCCTGATAATACTAGCAGGGTAAGCACTTAGCGATTCAGCTGATTGAATTTGACCATAATCCATGTTTTATAGATATCGGAAGGGGAAAATCAGCAGCGAATTATGCGTCGTTTGCCTGAGGAAGATAAGAAGAGAATACAGGAGCAGATTGATGTGTTTAAGGTAAAGTGGTGCCATTATAATGCTTGAAAGTTATCCCTTCCCAAGAATTTATTTTATTCTTCCTCCTTTTTTTATTGAGTTTTATCTTCCAGATCACGCAGACAAAATTCGAAAGAGAAGTAGCAAAGTGGGATGAAAGTGGTAATGATATAATTGTGTTAGCGAAACATATGTGCATGATAATGACGGATATGACTGACTTCACCAGGTCAGCAATGATTTTTTTTGCGAATTCCCTTGTTTTGTCTCTCTTTTTACACTGATTTGATTTTACTTGATTAATGAAATCAAGGGACTATGAAGTTTGCTTACGAGCTCAAGCAAAGTTTATGTTGCAGAGGGCATGGTCCTTTGAAAACAACCATGGATGTAATACGAGCTGCTCAAGAGATATCAGTCGATGGCTCAAAGGTTAGCTTTTGTCTCACTAATTTGATCCACTTTTGGGAGTTTAATTCACATTTTTTACAAAAACAAATTACGTTAAATAAGCGAATTTTAGCTGAATGCTCTAGCCAAACAAATTGGTGATGAAAGTGTCGACTCAAACACCAAAGCAGATCTTTTTGCGTATTTATCGCGAATTACGTTGTATTGTCAGCAGCTAAATATTTGCAGTAAGGTAAGGATTCAATGTTAAATTTGTATGGTGAAAAGATGTTTACTCATGCATCCAGGTAAAAGCTGACGTGCAACAAATTGGCAACGATGTGGTTGTATCCGGCTTGGAGTCTGCTATGTCCTTAATTCAAACGGCAAGAAATCTCCTTGGCGCTGTTGTGCTGACAGTTAAAGCCGCTTACATCGCCAGCACAAAGGTGAGGCAAAGATCAAAGATTTATAACCTAAAAATTCATATTCTCATCGGTTTCCTTTTGCATTCATCAGTTAAAAGTTGTGTCTGCTCTCTTTCATCTGTAAA